ACAGACAGACAGACAGACAGACAGACAGACAGACAGACAGACAGACAGACAGACATCATACTTAAGAATAAATGCTGACATTACCTTTCTGTGACACAAGCCAGTAATAATTTATAAGCAAACGTGCATAGTACAGTACCAACAATATTATGTTGCACATCGGTAGGCCCGTCGGGGGAAGAAAAATAAGATACAAAACTAGCAACACTATTAGGTGATCTAATATTATTATTTTTATTCTATTCTATCATTTTATTTTTGGAAACTACCTGAAGACGTTGCCATAACAGCATTATTTTTTACGTCTTTAGCACCTGCAAGATGTAGGAATCCCGGACAAGCTACCGCCATTCTTGTTCTGCCACGGAGACGTGGACAATTTCGTGGACCTGGAGTGGGGCAAGACCATGCACCGGCGGTTTGGTCAGTACGGGGTTACAGGACATTTCGAGACGATACCAGGCCTGAAACATACCGTCAACAAACCCGAGCTAGACTTTGTCAAATCTTGGGTCATGGAAAACATGCCATGAGAATGAGGTGTACACTAGTTGGTTTTAGCCACACGTCGCCCCATCTTCACAAACTTAAGTTTTACACTGGCATCTGCAGTGACTGAAATGTACTTTATGTACCTACTTTTGATTAACATTTTTTTACAAAGAGTATCATTTTATTATTCTTGCAGCACCTGACATCATTTAAACTCTCCTCCAATCGGATCCCATTTAAAAAATGGACCGTTAAAAAAATAGCATTATCTTTTGTCTCCATGAGAAGCATTTCTTTCCGTTTGATTGATTTTGTTTTTACTTATCATAAAATGCGTAAACAGACATCATTCTCAAATTATATTATTATAACATAAGCTTATATTATGGGTTTAAAAGATGGCTCTGATAATAATAAAACATGATGATAAATTATTAAATAGCTTTTATGTGGCGCAAATTGCCGTACAATAGCAAACTCTATTATCTATGAGCTTTATAATCTATATTTTTTTACCCCAGTAGACTCAGGAGCTAAAACACTAACATGTTAACAAGCTCTTTCGCTGTCTTTGCCCGGGTGAAGTGAGGAAAATTAGTCTAAAGTGCTTTCTCAAAGGACACAACGTCGGGTCTGAGTCTGAGGCTCGAACCCCCGAACCCGCAACCTCACGATTACGACTCCGGTAGCCTAACTACTCCTAAACTAGAGATATAATTACCGGACAATGACGCCTTCTATTGCCTTCTAGTAAAGAGTCCGAGTCAAATCCTCCAATCTAAAAAAAAAAGAAAGAAAAACAAAAGATGTTTTACTACACCAACGTGTTCGTGGTATGTTTGCAACAAAGGTAGACTATGGATAGTTATTGTTTGTTTTTTTGTTAATGCATACATGCCACTCCATCATTTATTATTTACACTACAAACGAGCGTGCTTGTCCGCTCAAAAAACCAAGATGTAAGTATACACTGTACACGTAATTGTGTAAAAGAAAAACTGCCAATGGACGGGTGCAATACATATGTACATGTATGAATTCGTTGTGATTTAATTTAAACAATTTCAGCTACCGAAAGACAACGTGCAATAAAAACTGGCATGACATTATAATGACGAAATAGTGTGCAATAAGTGTGGACACGGGTCTTTTCTTTATTATATAGCCTACACTGGAACTTATAGTGCATGACTATGCCATGTGGTAGCAAGATATTTTTCTTCGCCCGACAGGCCTACCGATTTGCAATATATACATATTATTGTTATTATATAATGAATGTTACTGGGTGCCTATTGCGGATGGGATCGGGTTGGGATCAGCGCCCGACTCGTCGCCTGAAAACACGTTTGTTTTTTAGGCGACATGTCAACTTGTGCCACGATAGCCGCTTTGCGCCCTCAATCTGGCTCGCAAAACCGATCCGACCCAACCCGATTCCCCAATGGGCACCCCGTATAAACGATGCACTTTTATTATATAAATTACAACGGGCTCGTGTCACAGGAAGGTTGAGTCAGCATTTATTTTAAGTATGCTCAACAATTTTGTAACGTGCAATTAGGAGTGGACCAACGCTGTGCATCCCGGATATTTTAAATATTAAATTATGCCAAATGAAATGTGATACCGTGCGCCTGTTTGTTGTTGAACAGCTGTGGTTGATGATGCATAATAAAGTAAGTTTACTCTCTTTGATCAACTGTAGTTTGTTTGTGTGTGTGTGTGTGTGTGTGTGTGTGTGTGTGTG